CTGATGGTGCTGGTGGCGGTTGGGGGGGGGGGGGGGTGGTGCTTGTGGTGCTTGTGGTGCGGGTGTGGTGCTGGTTATGGTGCTGGTGGACCTGGTGGTGGACCTGGTGGTGGTGCTGGTGGTGGTGGTGCTGGTGATGCTGGTGGTGGTGGTGGTGGTGATGCTGGTGGTGGTGCTGGTGCTGGTTGTGATGGGGGAGACAACTAGAATTGAGCTGCAATAGGTTTTGACATAAACTCACGCTCAAGTCTGGATGAGTCATCAGCCATGATTTTGCCTTCCTGTATGTCCCTGGAGGATAGAAAGAAACCACATAAGGCAGGAACTGGCGTCACCGACTATCTCTAGGATTCAAAACTGAAGCAAAGTGTTTACACACGTCAAGATACTTTAAGTTACTTGAAGCATTCATTTGAAAAACACGACACTGGAATGGAGTTGAAGTCTCCACTGAAGCTTCACCATTCTATTAATAAACAAGAGTACATTTAAGGCCAGAGTGCGCAGGTCAGATGTGTTTGCTGTCACAGTGAAATTCCTGGATTTTCCCACGTAGCATTACAGTGGCCCGGTATAGTGCCTACAAGCAGGATTCAAGCAGGTATCTCTCTCTCTGCACAACTTCAGCTGAGTCGCATGCACCACACACTACACCTAACACCACCTCCCAACGCTTTTCTGCAACAACTACAGTAAAACCTGGTTTTATAAGCGACCACCCCACGGTACCACGGTGCAAACGAAAGCGGTCGTTAAAGCCAGGTGGTCTTTAGAACCAGGATTTTCAAGATGCACTGTCGGCACATAGCCTGGTTTTAGTGTTGACATACATAGAAATACCTGTCTTGAATAGAAGCCTGCACTATTTTCCCAAGAACGTCATAGAAGCCGCGACTTTTATGCACGACTTTACGGTATATCTCTACGGTCTAAGACTATGATTGAGAAGCAGAGGGTACCAGGTGCAAGTCCTGCTTGGAAGCGGAAGGAATTTTTCCAGCCGTGCTGCGACCCACAGTTAATTGGGAACTCGTGGCCTGGCACGAAGGTAACATGGATGCCGCTAACGGGATTTCGGTCTTTGATCACATGGTGGTGGGTCTGTTCTACTCACCTCCCACCGTTTAGGCGCTGCATCTGCGCCTTGATCCTAGAGGGTGGTGGCGTTCCTACGGCGGATGCGGAAAACTAGGCTTCAGCCGAGTCTCACGCGAACGATGAAATTTATTATTTACGATAATATAAATCTACCGTTACCTTGGTGAACTGATAGTCAATTTCCCCTAACATTTTGGTCCTTCCTCTTATACATGAAAACGCAGACACATTGGTTTTTGTGCATCCAAATGTGCTGACCCAAACATCAGTGCTGTACAGTGGAGAACACTTCACAATGGCAGACTGGACGAGCCTAACACCGTGACCACTGTTTTGTACCGCTGTGATGCTGGAGAAACCCCAATACACCACTGTTTTGTACTGCTGTGATGCTGAAGACACCCCAATACACCACTGTTTTGTACTGATGTAATGCTGGAGAAGCCCCGATACACCACTGCAGTGTGAATTGTGTGTGTGTGTGTGTGTACGTGTGTGTGTGTGTGTGTGTGTATTTGAGGTTGTTGGTATGTCTGTTGGGTTCCCAGTACTCAGTAGCCGAGGCTGGTTGGTAAAGTAACTCCCATTTCACTTCAAGGTACCAGCAGTGCATCTAGTTTCTGCTTCTATCAAAGCAGCGTGCTGCCTATACTGGTTACCCCAGCAAGTGTAGGGTGTGCATAGGTACCTGTCTTGGCCGTTATATGCCGAAATACTGCGTGTGGTGTAGGCCAGGTGTGCATTGGTGGTCGATTCACATGGCTTTGCCAGTTGTGTGGATTAGACAGTTATCTGGCGGAAGTCTTGATCTGTCTCATTCAGATCTTATTCGGTATCGTTGCTATAAGAGAAAAGCTGTGGGTGCACATCCAGTGCACTTGCATATTTGCGTGCTTCTCTTGCGACGGGCGTATACATGGTACATGGTGTGTGTGTGTGTGTGTGTGTGTGTGTGTGTGTGTGTGTGTGTGTGTGTGTGTGTGTGTGTGTGTGTGTGTGTGTGTGTGTGTGTGTGTGTGTGTGTGTGTGTGTGTGTGTGTGTGTGTGTGTGTGTGTGTGTGTGTGTGTGTGTGTGTGTGTGTGTGTGTGTGTGTGTGTGTGTTGTGTGTGTACTCCGTGTGGTGTAGACCAGGTTTGCATTGGTGGTCGATTCACATGGTACATGGTGCGTGTGTGTGGTGCGTGTGTGTGGGTGTGTGTGTGTATGTGTGTGTGTGTGTGTGTGTGTGTGTGTGTGTGTGTGTGTGTGTGTGTGTGTGTGTGTGTGTGTGTGTGCTTGTGCATGTGTGAACAGACAGAAGTACAGTGCTGCGCACAACGAAATCCGATCCAGCCAGTCAATCACCCCAAAGAGGGAGAGGGGGAGGCGGGGCTGTGCAGCCATACCTGTGAACACTGGAAAACGGAAAAGAACAGCGCTACCTTCTCTGCGACATGTAAGCTAGTCGGAGAGCAGCACATCGTTCTGAAGAACGGAAGTGGATCATAGGCATAGCAAGTTTTTTTTAGGAATTCCCATGAATAGTGTTGTTGTTCACAGTTCAGTCGCATACGTCTCTGTGCACAAGCTGGCGCGACATAACAAGCCACTGAGATCCGCAAAAGGAGCCAGCCACCTGGAAGAAGTCGCCTTCAATCACATCTTTACACTTTGCCTTTCACAGGCTTGAATCCAATTTCGAGAGAAGGTGGGGTCTCTTCAACACTATTGTCGATCCTGGAGCAGACCAGGGATCGTTTTTTTAGTTACTCTTGGCTAGAGAAGGGGAAAAAATGAACTTCAAATTGGTTGAGGGACATAGTCACACTGTACTCCAGACTGCTCTGCTGTACGAAGACAGAGTTCGAACTTTCCAGCGGGCACATTTTTCGTACTTCGAGCGGCTCACGGAATATAATTGTTCGAATTACTATTATCGTGTTTGAATTAGAGGTAGTCTACCTGTACATACATACATACACCAGTTCAGTGTATGTAGTCTACAACCTAGACCTACCCCCCCCCCCCCCCCTCCCCATTTCCCTATCCAACGTATCCTTTTTCTTTATCTTTCTGCAGTGGATATCACGGTGGGCGCTAATAGTGGGCGCTAATAGTGGGCGCTAATAGTGGGCGCTAATAGTGGGCGCTAATAGTGGGCGCTAATAGTGGGCGCTAATAGTGGGCGCTAATAGTGGGCGCTAATAGTGGGCGCTAATAGTGGGCGCTAATAGTGGGCGCTGCACTTCCGTATAGTATACATGTCTTGCTCTCGTCTTGTTCTCTCTCTCTCTCTCTCTCTCTCTCTCTCTCTCTCTCTCTCTCTCTCTCTCTCTCTCTCTCTCTCTCTCTCTCTCTCTCTCTCTCTCTCTCTCTCTCTCTCTCTCTCTCTCTCTCTCTCTCTTATGTCCTTCTCTATTTTTCGTGGCGCTCTTTGTCTGTGCAGACGCCGAGACCACCAAGGTCGGCTGAGCAGCAGGGCCCTGCCACCACTTTCCGCATTCATTCGGGAGCATAGTGGACTTAACCCTTTACCGGTCTACCATAAGCGAACCGATACTATAGTATCGGTACGTTTGGCCCTCATTTTTTGGGGGTCTTGTTGCTAGGGGACAGCTAAAATGGCGCTTTACGCGTAGCTGAGGTCCAAGGCTTTCTGACGATGTACAAAACAACCATGCTTACCATACACATTTTTGCCGTATCGATCGACTGAAGTTTGTTGAAATTGGAAAAGACGACCATCCGCCATGCGTGCATTTCGAGAATGCGAGTGCATCTCTTGGGGCCGTGTTTGACAAGCGTTCTGAGAGCAGTAACACCACCAGTCCAGGCTGGATCTCCCGGGAGGTTTTGCAGTGTAGTGTATTGAGAAAAAGAGCTCCGTTGAGTCCTGCTAGTTCAAAAAATATATCGTCCACGAATGAAGAAACAAAATTCTCCAAACAGAGAGGAAGCCTTCTTGCTGCCGACACGGCGACAGCGACTGTCACAAGGACTCGTCAGGTGCGATCAGCTGATTCGCCTGGCCGTGATAATCACGGCATGTGTAAGCTCGCGCCTGAGTGCTCATCTGAGCGAGAGTGAATCTGACGCGAGCAGCCCTGAGATGAATAAACCGAAGCTGCACTATCGTGGAATGGGAATTGCTGCTGCTGGCGTATCGCCGATGGCGAGGTGTTGGTGTTCAATGGCGGTATTGTAGAGAACCTACATTTCTTGTAAAGACGTAGCCCTTACCTGATTGTTTATCGTACGACTTCAGCTCCATCACGAACTTGGTATGCCCTTCGTGCTGTGATATTCGTGTATTTCATTCGCAATTGTATTTTCTCTCAACTTGAAGGGCTACAATGGGCCCTATCCTTGCCTGGACCTAGTCATATTTGAATTTTCTGGACGCGTTCAGGCATACAGATTTTGAAAATATATGGTTTACCCATACCTACATCACATGGTTCTTGAGTTATTGCTGGTTGTGTGTACATGTATTTGCGTGACCACCCTCACATACATTGAGTTAGACCGGCAAAGGGTTAAATGTAGTAAAAAAATCTCGACTACAGTCCATTCAGAAAAAAATGAACTTCTAGCTTTTGGCCATAAATGGGTCAAACGTTGAATTTTTTAGAATTTTTTTTCTGCAATCCCATATGGAATCCTCTTCCAATTATGTTTCTGAAGTTTTTTTGTCCAAAAAGCAAGCCATAGCAAGAATAGGATTTCGGCCAGGTTTTGCCCCAAAAGCACTGAATTGGGAAAAACCATCAAAATCCAGGCCGTTTGACCCCGCCTGCAACAGTGCATTCTGCGGTTCGAACCCCAGTTCAGGCACCCTTTTTGGACCCTTTTTCAAATTTCAAAGTTCGCAGCACTGCACTGTGTACGATGAAATCACGAAAAATCGCCAAATACGGGAGCTCGCCAGAGCCAGGACCCATCTTTTTATGAATGGACTGTAGTTTGAGGGAAAGACACAAACGGGAAAAGTCTGAAGAAAAATTTGGCTGTCACCACCAGGACTCGAACCAGGGACCCTCGCTTGTAGCTAGCGATGCTCTAACCACTGAGCTATGGTGTAGTCGTCATCCCAGCAGAGACCGTTCAACATCCTCTTCAGACTTCGTAACTCACACTTCCTGTGAATCCACACAGGCGGGTGGGGCGCAGCCCTCACTGTACCCACAGCACGCGGGGAGCCCCAGCCCAGGTCATAAAATCTTGACTAGTTTGAGGGAAAGACACAAACGGGAAAAGTCTGAAGAAAAATTGACTGTCACCACCAGGACTCGAACCAGGGACCCTCGCTTGTAAACAAATCTCACAAAATAATAGTCCTACTCGGTTATTCTTTTTTACCTTGCTGCTGCTGCTGCTGCGCTCGACGATGCAGAGAGGGATGCGTCGTCACCAACGGTTGCGTGGCGTGGCAAGCACGTACACCTACAAGAGAAACCGGCCCCACCTGCTTTCCACGCAGAGTGGGGCCGTTGTAACGACTGCGACCGGCTCAACCGCTACCACTTTGTCCGGCAGTCGCTAACAAACTAGCAATGACACTGCACTGCAGTACTGGCGTGTTGGGTTTGTGCTGACCGAAACGCACGGGCCGCCCTGAGCACGAGGTCGAAACGTTCTGAAAACAAAACACTGACTCAGTGACTGACTTGCTTATTTTTCAACCAGGCAACAAAACTGCTCAGTCTTTCTTCAACAGAGCTCTTCACAGTGTGTCCGACATTCAACTGCAACTGTAAACAAGTCACTACACAGACAGACTACACAAACAGTCAGTACGATCGTACAGCATTATGTAGTAGATCTTCTACCCTGCTCGCCTGGCGCAGACGTAGACCTGGTAGACCTAGTATGGCTATGCGGCCGCCGGCTGGGCAAGACTTCATCGTGACCGGTACCGACGCGACAGACTGAAGCCAGTGAAGGGCAGCAGAAGTAGCGCAGGCGCAGCTACCGTAACAATGGCAGCCGACTAGTCAGTCAAGTAGTACTAGTACTTTACTACATGTACTACTAGTCTGTACCAGGGAGTCGTGAAAGCCCGGGAGAGGACACGGGATGCGCGCACGCGGACGATGTTTGCCTCGGCCAGAAAGTCAAGCACGCTAGGCGGGCGCGGCCGGATCTGCTCGATCCACGGCGCTGTGCTCGTCTTCAGGGCAGGGAGTCCTAAAATACCAATATTTTACTACTCGTTGAAATCCGAAACTGGTGGCGAAGGAAGCATAAACAAGTTACATGATTGTGTGTCTGTCTGTCAGACTCAGCACACATGGTACAGGGGGTGGGGAGTTGAGTGTGTGTGTGTGGGGGGGGGGGGGGCGTGTGTATGTGCACATGTGCTTGTACTTTTTTGTGTGTGTGTGTGTGTGTGCGCGCGCGCGCGTGCGTGTGCATTTTTGTGCACAATTCCGTTATGAAGTACAAATGATAGGTTTACCTTTTGTACACTCGCCAAGACTTCGGTTAGATTCACTGAGAACCTTTCTGGCCAACCTGGAGGCTGAGCCTTCCGTTTCCTAAACGGCTAAAGTCACCGCGTACTCAGTATACGAGTAGAAAAGTGTTGAAATTATCAAGATTTATAAATAACGACCTGCAACCATGTACAATGTAGATTATAGATAGGGAACACACATTGATTGTTTTTAAAAGAATCAAGGGAATATCATGAATCATGGAACGAGTGCGTAATAATGCTCTATGTTGCGTTTTGACGATGCTGAAGGAAGGGAGCCGTTGCGATTCACTCACAACACACGCACAGAAGTCCACTCGACTGCAATTTCAGTGCAATTTCTGACACAAATTCGTAACTCCACGAGTACGAGGAAGCTCAGCGGATCTCCGCAAGAACTTTCGCCCATCACCTGCAATGGAATATGGGCTGTATGATACGACCAGCGGCTAACATGGGAAGTGGCTTCATTTTCCACAAATCTCGTTTCATTCACAACCATTTGGCTGCAATTTCTGCCACAAGTTCAACTCCACGAGTACGAGGAAGCTCAGCGGATCTCAACACGAACGTTCGCCCATCAACTGCAATGGAACATGGGCTGTATGATACGACCAGCGGCTAACACGGGAAGTGGCGTCATTTTCCACAAATCTCATTTCGTTCACCCCGACTCAAATAAAATTGAAGTACAATTAGGGATTTATCTTGCATTTCCATCGCCTCAGAATAAATTAACTTCGATAAACTGAGAGAGAATGAGTGAGGCAGCTGGAAGAATTGAGGATGAAAATAGAGATCAGAAGACTCGACGGAGCAATCGTCTCCGTGCTCTAAGAGAAATCGGAGAATGTCCCAATTAGTATTTCAAGAAGACATCACAATTTTCGAAAATAATAATTATTTCCTGGCCTCGCAACACCGTTCCCTGGCAGCGTTCCCCCGGCAGCGCGAGGCAAAGATGTTTTCTGGGAATGTGTGCCGTGTCCTCTCCCGGGCTTTTACGACTCCCTGGTCTGTACTGTCCAATCCCGAAAAGATTGTCTGGGTTCGTGAAAGGGGGCACGCGTGCAAGCCAGCACGTGTGAAGTGCATCCTTTTGTATTCAGTTTGTGTGTGACAGCTCATGGCGGAGGAGAGAGAGACTTTTGCTCGCCGAGCTGAAGCTAAAGGATTTGATGGAGTCCTGCCAGCAGCTAGTCAAAGGACCTTCGGTACCTTAGGCAGACCCTGACGGAGTTTGGAGGCCAGATAGCTCTCGGTGAGGAGAGAAACATTCGCGTGGCGATCGACTCTCCGTAAAAAATGCAAGCTACATAGCGCCGACATACTGCAACAGCTACGATTTCAGCTAACTAACACGTGACGTTACTTCTCGATCTGCTGCTTCACAAAGTTCAACTTTTTACAAGTCCTGACTGTTGTAGTCTGAAGCTGGAGTCTCATCGCCCACCTACAGGTAGCGTTTGGAGCTGATGGATTTCCCGACTTGGACTCCTTCCGCAAACTCTCGCAACATAATCATTACTACAGTGTATGCTGTGTTTCCGCACGCTCGTGTCGACATGTCACCTATACTGTACCGGGTCGCGGAGGAGCCTGACGACCTCCGCTGACTCCAGGTTTCCGAAATACTGCCGTCGTCTTCGTTGATGTCGCTGGTGACATTCTCCCCTTGCAGGACGTGCGCATAGTTGTCGTCCCGGGGGTAAAGACTATGTTGTCTTTCGAACTAGTTCTTCATCACGCTCGCGCGAATGATGTTTCTCATCATGACCTCGTTCCGACGGTGTGACACGGCGATGGTCTTTGGCGGGGCACTGGCTTGGCGAAAACGATATCTTCTTGTGCAATATAACATTGATCGGCTGCAGATGAGTACAGTCACTTCGTGGTTGGTCCTACAGGAGGGCAGCTGCCAGGAAAGAGGCAGGATTCATCGAAGACGAAGCGCTCGCAACAAACAATAACACTCGAAATATCTCGTAAGATTTAGGGCCTATCGCTTTGAGCCACAGCGCTCACAGCCTTGCCTACTTCATCAAAGTGAGCTCTACATGTTCGTTGACCTCTTCACACTACACAGAAGAGCGAAACAAGGATTATGTCTTAGCATTTCAACTCCAACAGCAGACCATTACCAGTGCGAGAGAAAAAACTACAAAGGGCTTCGCTTTCTGTCGCATCGTCTCTCTTCTGTCCCCGGGGAAAATTGCGGAAAAAAATCGCAAAAAACGCGGGGAAAAACGCGGCATAATATGGCATAATTTGCGGTGAATTTGCGGTAAATATGCGGTAAATATGCGGTGAATAATATTGATGTGCGGCAATTTTCAGTGAGTATGTAGTGAAATCAATCAGTTACAAGTCTCTTGTGTAAGCACTCGTCATATTTGAGTAAAAAGCCGCCACGATGAGACGTTGCTGACCGAAAGTGCACTGTGTGTACGTGTAGTGCAACAAAAAAGTTCAAAAAACGCGGGAAAATCGCGGAAAACGCGGTCTTTTAAAAAATCGCAAAAAACGCGGAAAAAAACGCGGCCGCGGAATCGCAATTTTCCCCGGGACAGTCTCTTGCATGCAACTAACGAGAAAATCGTGTACTTACCCTCGCATTCACACGCGAACTATCAAACACGTCCTGTGCCGCATGCTGATCAGGTAGTGCCATGTATGTGTTGTACAGTGTACTCTCAGTTGACATGCCCCCTTTCGAACCCAGACAATCTTTCAGTAACGTCTGGCGCTAGCCAGGGTCCACACAGCTTTAATTCCCGTAGCTATGCAGAAGACGTTACTTCAGTAACGTCTGGCGCTAGCCAGGGTCCACACAGCTTTAATTTGGTGTTTGTTTGTTTGTTTGTTTGTTTGTTTGTTTGTTTGTTTGTTTGTGTCACGCCTGGCGCTATCCTGTATCTGTCCCGTACCGTACCGTACCAACAAAGACAGCTGGCCACAATATTTTTGTTTGTTTGTGCCATCGGCATGCCTGGCGCTATCCCGTACCCGTCCCGTACCATCAAGTGTACGGTACCATCAAGAGAATGAGTATATATGCGAAGTGTATCGGGGAATGCATTCAGTGCAGTACCATTTTGTGTGGATTTGTGTGCGAGGCCGAGATCCCACTAGCAGGCTGGCTGGGCCGCCTGTCGAACAGCCCGGGAATCGCATGTAGGCCGATAGCATAATAATTATAACGTTTATACAGTCATGTAGATGTATAGCAGGGATTATTATGTAAACGACTCCCTGCTGTATGGGGAGATTTTCTGGAAAGAAATACGAAGTAGGGAGACGAGTAAATGCAATTAGAATGGATGTTAGTTGCCGTCAGTATAATAAGAAGAAGAAGACGAACGCCCGTGGTCGGCAGAGTCAGCGCCGGTCCCAGGAAACGGCAGGACAGACATCCCGTCGACTCCAGAACGCCCGTCATCGGCAGAGTCAGCGCCGGTCCCATAGCTATGCAGAAGACGTTACTTCAGTAACTCATTGAAACGTTTTTGCAATACAATGAAGTAGCTAATCAAAGGAAAAAAACGTTTCCATCAGTTCTAACAACATGCACGATGAGCTAGGCAACAAAGCATAGCGCAGGGCCCTGAGCTTCCAAGCTCTCTCGTTTGGTATTTGTTTGTTTGTGTGTTTGTTTGTTTGTTTGTGTCACGCCTGGCGCTATCCCGTATCTGTCCCGTGTCTGTCCCGTATCTGGTACTACAAAGGCTCTACAGAATTGTACATAACAGCTGTCCACAATATTTGCGGGCTCCTGTATCTGTCCCGTACCGTACCAATATTCGTCGTATTATGTATACGACTCCCTGATGTAGAGGGAGATTTGGAAAGAAATAGGGAGACGAGGAGGAAATTAAATTAGAATAGACGCCGAATAGGTGATAGGATGCGTCAGCATAAACAGCGTCAGCATAAACATACATGTACAGTACTTTGGAAGAGAGATCCCGTCGTCTCCAAAATAAGCGTGAACGAGCGATTCAGCTCCGGTCACAGGAAACGTCGGAAGAGAGATCCCGTCGACTCCAGAACCCCCGTGATCGGCAGAGTCCGCCGGTCCCAGGCAACGTCAAGACAGACATCCCGTTGAGTCCAGAACGCCCGTGATCGGCAGAGTCTAAGCCGGTCCCAGGAAAGGTCAGGACAGACATCCCGTCGAGTCCAGAACGCCCGTGATCGGCAGAGTCAGCGCCGGTCCCAGTGAACGTCAGGACAGACATCCCGTCGACGCGCAGAAAAACTAAATCTGCAGCCTCTTTTGCCGTCGGACAGGATACGTATTATAGGAGACTGTAAAGTTATGTAATGTCCAAATTTCCACGTGAGCAGCAGGTCACTCGCGTTGAGTTTTCGACGTGCGAGCCAAA